GGCAAAAATAGTCTTTAAACCAGGTACAGCTCTGGAAAAAATCAAGAGACTATTCTATAGTTTTAAAAAATCTGCATTTTTAAATCCTGGTTTAATCCTGGTTCTGCTGGCAGATTCTACACTGAGCTACAGGTTGCTTCCAGACTTAAATTTCTAGGACAGCAGTACACAAGAACAAGGTGAAGCAGGAGACACTGGGATCGACCAGTAACCAGCCAGGTAGAGGGCGGAAGCGACTTTCTAAAGGCAGAGTCAACTTATCCAATGGTGCCTCATGAATCAGAGGATAACATCAGGTGACCTTCAAAAGGAATGGGAAACATTAAGTGCAGGTATGAATTGCACTGCTAGGACAGTTCAGGCTCCTAGAAGCATGACTGAAATTCCATAAAGCAAGGAAGAAGCCCTTTATTAATGAGAAGCAAGGAAGAGCCAGACTGGAATTTGCAAAAAATGTATATTTTACACAGGCATAAACCTCTAAACTGAGAAATGAGGGCAACTAAAAATTTCGCTTGGTCTCTTATTTTTTTCCAGAGCTGTATTTTATATTAGGTTATCTAATGATAATGCTACTGCCATTAAGGAAAATGCGATTGGGTTTCACGCTTTTCATGGTTCCAGTTCTGCCAAATTCTTCCATGCCGTCCTCCGCGGGCCTCCTTGCGCCGGAGCTGCATTTCTGTCCACAAACCTGCAAGGGAAGCCGGCACTATGGCTGCTGGGAAATAGATATTGTGCGTTCCAGCACAGTGGCGTAGATGATAGATCCCAGACAGTTAATGATGGTCAGAAGCTGGTGGGGGAGGGTGGCCAGGGTAACTGGCAGCAAAACAGCCAGAGTAATGACCCTGGGTTTCTCACATCACTGGAGGCTTCAACACCTTCAGCAGCCAGACCATCCAGCAATGACAGACAACCCTGGAGGGTTAAAGAGCCACATGGGGGCAGATCCAACGGCAGGACACCCTCTTCATTTTAATTGCATGTTCGCCTCAGGCTCCGCTACCGGAAATTGTCACACCAGGATACATTTCAGCTAGAAGAGACAGCTGCGTTTGGAGTGGTGCCGTAACTGGGAGGGACTAATGACCGTCGTGTGCGCGTATGGCGGTGCTGAGGGGAGAAGACCAATCCTGCCAATGATGTGGAGAGACACACCGGTGTTACTCCTGGCATCATGGTGTAGGGAGCCATAGGGTATGACATCATGGTGTGGGGAGCCATAGGGTATGACATCACGGTGTGGGGAGCCATAGGGTATGACATCANATGGTGTGGGGAGCCATAGGGTATGACATCATGGTGTGGGGAGCCATAGGGTATGACTTCAGGTCATCTCTGGAAGTGATTCGGGGGACCCTGACGGCACAGCACTACGTCAGTGACATCCTGCATCTGCATGTCTTACCCCTCCTGAGACAGAACCCTGGTACTGTACAGTTTTTCAACAAGATCGAACATGTGTGGGTTCAGTTCGGACGTCAGCTCAGACCCAGAGCCAATCTGCTGGATCTCGAGGGCCAGTTACAACAGCTGTGGGCCGACTTGCCACAGGAGAGGATACAACGGCTGTACGACTGCCTTCCATACCGTAACACTGCATGTATCCAGGCCCAGGGAGGTGCCACACCCTACTGACACGGGACCAGCAGTGTGCCCGAACTGCCAACTCTGTTGCCCGTTTGATCTGATATTATAATCATTGCAGTAAAGTCACATGACCTTTCACCACATGCAGATTCATTTCATTACCACCACTCCGTCTGAGTGCTTAGCTTTTTTTGTCACTGAGTATATAAAACATTGGACTATGGACCAAGAGGTCATGGGATCAAATCCAGCTCCAGCTGTAACTGTGAAAATAATGTACATAGCTTTCAATTGAGAAAAAAATCTACACCTTGCTTCAGCAAAACTTTATATTTATAAAAATCATGTATAATAATATGATATAATAATGTATTATACAATTATAGATTACTTGAAATTACAGAATATACAATCATAAAAATTTCTGCAAATCTTTAACCCGGGCAGGTTGCGGGGGGGAGTCTGCGGGGGGGGCAGGTTGGGACGATTACGGGAGCCTGCAGTATCAGTGGGGTCACTATGGGTGGTTGAGGCGTCGGCGGGGCGGATAAAGGGGGCATTCAGGACTGATGCAGGGAGCAGAGGGGCAGGCTGGGGTTGCGGAGTAAGAGAAGTGGCAGCTCGCTGTCGTCTCTGACAGCGAGTGTCGTCACAGCCTGCCCGGACAGGTCTGGGGGGAGGAAAAGGCAAACGGCCTCAGGCCAGAAGGGGGTTCAGCAGGCTCTGGCTCCGTTTGCCTGGGGTCTGGTAGAGGGGTGGCTGTTGTCAGGCTGGGGCTGGGGAGAGGGATGTCCACAGACAGTGCAGCAAGCTCTTGCCACCTGACTAAATTGTTATGCCTACCAGAAACAAGACATTTTAAAAAATAACCTTAGTCAGCATTTATCATTAAGCCGTAAAAAAAAAAATTCTCAGTTCAGCTGAACCCAAATGTTGGCTGAACACACTTACCAAACACACAGTGTATGCTGGATTATTTCAAAGACCGGCTGCTGTTCACTCTGGCAGTTGGATGGTAGTCTCCTCCACCTGAAAAGTGTGAGGCCATCAGTGCACTTTGGGTTTGGAACCTCCAGACACAAATTCACAAACGCTTCCCCTACAATCCTGTTACAGTCTGGCCACTGTGCAGGACTGTGTGCTCCAACAAAGCACCTGACAAAGACCAGAAACAATTTATGTTACTGAAGGCATAAGTATCGGAGCAATGGGAGATAATTAGCACAACTGCTCATATCACTGTACCTTTTTGGTGCTACAATTTTCTTTGTGGCCCGAAAGCATCCTTTGTTGATGCTGACATCATAATGTAGAGCATGCACTGTGCGTATGATTGGTTGTCACTACCAAGATTTGCCTCAAAACTTGGTAGGAGGAGGAAACGTAATTGGCTGCTGCAACCAAGATTTTGCCTGAAACTTGGTTGCAGAAGGCAACGTGACTGGCTGTTGCTACCTAGAAATACTGGAATATCGGTTGGAGGAGGAAACATGATTCGCCTTGGCTACTTAGAATTTCCTCCACTCATTGCTGGCGGTAGGAGCCACACATCACCCCCATCACTTGGTGTTGCTGTCATGTGAGAAGATGCACCTGTAAATTACAGTAGAAATGCTTTCTAATACAGCATAATGCTAACTGGCATAGACCAGGAACGTTTCCACTGTAGTATAAACTAATGGGTTTTCACCTGTGTAACAACAATGCCACCTAATGGAGGCCAGCGGAATTGTGCTGGAGCCAATTAATGAATCCCACTCTAACCTCTGCAGTGTGTTGAAATGGATCGAGGTGGCCGACCTTCTAGGGATGTCTGCGGGGTGTTGAAAAATTTTAAACTCGAGTTGAACCAATTAAGGTCTTAAAAAATCAGAAATTTGAGTTTACTGTGTTTTAAATTTTCAAGTCGAACATGTTTTAGTCCGATGAAAAATGTTTTTTTTAAGTTGAAACGTTACTGACTCTTAAGGGGTATACTACGTAGTCAGCTTAGGCGGATTAATTGGGGGGTTCATTTTCAGTACAGTGAGTGAGTGTCCGGGTTAATAAGGTGCGACTGACGGACAACTCGCACTTACAATCGGACGGACATATGGCCCAATATATTGAGAATTTGACTCGAATAGAATAGTTGATAATCCATGCGCGCACTATTTTGTGACGCACATAAGAACATTGCGCGGCCTCGGCGGTTAATTGTAACGTTCCATCGCGAATGCCGCTGCTGGGATGCCGGACGGCGATGGAACGACGGTAAGTATTAACCTTTAGTCATGATCTTTTATGTCAAAACTCTTTTAAGAACTTTAATTATTTTTTACAGTACTGTATACCTTAACACATACACACCCAAATTCTCTCTTCGGTACAGTACCCTATGTAGTTACTTTTGTAATGACTGTAGGCCTAGCTATTATATCGTTATTATATATACCATATTGTGTTTATGATGTTTTGTGTATTTGGAAGTGTTTAAGTATTTCATAGGTATAGGTGTTTTATATGTTTAGGTAAAATATGCACCGTATGCTGTGCATTTGACTGACGCTAAATAGCAACCATATGTATCTGTTCCGACTTGGCTACAAATTCGACTTGAAGACGGACCTAGGAACGTTCGTAACCCGGCACCTGCCTTGTACTATACGAAAGGAAGCTCACTTGTAGACACATGTTGCTGTATTTATTTAGCCTGCTAGCCTATGCTGCTCCAAGCTGGGGCCTATATCGTCAAGCAGGGGCCTGCGTCATAAAGCAGGGGCCTCCATCATAAAGCAGGGGCCTGTATCATCAAGCAGGATTTGTGGGAGTCTGGAATACAAGTAAGTGAACAAAGACAAAATCCATGTAAATTGCGGCACCTTAAATCCGACAGATTATACGGCTAAGCAATAAACACGGTCTCGTGCCGAAACTCTCCCAGCCTTTCGCGTGCACGCGCACTCTCAGTACTGCGCCGCAGTTAATTCACAAGGACTGAAACTAACGGTTTCAACTAAACTTAAGGTTTCTAAAGGCAATTACCTAAGTCTGTCACAGCATTTTATCGTCTTTATGTAAACGTCCGTGTTATTGCTTGGTCAGCCCTAAGCAAAATTTAAGTGAATCCGACAAACAAAAAATACTTTAATATAACTGCTCTCGAATATTCACACTCCTGACGCTCAAATTAATGACGAGTGAATATTTTTTCATCTATTACATGATTTTGTTTCACTTACCAGTGGTTTTACCAGTGGTACAACACAACATGTTTTATACACAGTTACACGAGTACAGGATGGCAGTGAATCGTGATTTTCATCCCTGCCAGCACACCCCCCCTCCCCTTATCTCTGGATTGGAAGGTCAGGCTGACTTCAGATTTCTACTGACATCCACTGACTCCTACATTATACCCTAGACATTACAAGTGTGTAGCTCTCAGTCCATGTTAGCGAATTAAATGCTGTTAAAACACCGCGGTGCTGAGAATGCACGTGCACGCGATAGGGGGGAGGCTTTCGACACAACCAGCTGGGTTAATTTCATCTTGAAGTCATGATTGTCCGATATAAATGCCCATTATCTAAACAGTTATTGGACGATCACCACTTCTAGCCAAATCTAACCCAACTGACTGAGAAATGGTGAAGCTCCCCCGCTCGTCTATCAGTAAGGAATAACTCTAGATGGCACACGTGAGCCGCAGTCATTACTTCACAAAACACGAACGCAGTTCCAGCCAATCACACGGTAGTGTTTTACGGATGGACAACCTACGGACAGCGTGATTGGTTGAATTTCCGAAGCACGTACGCTTCTGTTTTGGAAGAAATGAGCGCTGCTTCAGAGGAAGCCTTCCTTACTGTTGAAGACGTATGCAGCTCAGCATTCGAAGCATCTTTTATTTAGGACATATTATGGATAAACAAGGTAAAAAGACTCGGTATGGTGGTGATACTTTCTGCAGTTTAAAGTCGGACAGGCTACAAGCTGGTGCAGTGTACTTTAAACTCTGTCGAAAACTTGCGAACTACAATTGGGAATTCTACGAACTTCTTTCACCGCACTTTTTTTTGCCAAATGGCAGTGTTTATGACCACATACGTCCGAGAGAAACTTGGTTATTATTGGTCGCTGTTTTGGAACATTAAGCAACGTTAACCCTTTTAACGTTAAGCGTTTTATTAGGTCCCCACAAACTCCAGCGTTTAGGGTTTCCACTTTCGATCTGAAGAAATATTAAACAAATCGCGTCCCGTAGTAGTTAAAACGCGAAGCCGCATTTTATTTTTCACTACGGGACGGCTGGTGGCGACTCCATCAGCAAAGTGAAACTTCGAGCGTTCGACTGATTGCCTTTTTAAAAGTTCTAAATCTTTTTTTTATTATTTAAAAAAGGGCATTTCAAACAATCTTAGGCAAAAATGGATCCAAAGTAATGACTTAATTATATTAGTCAGTATATAATTTATCGACTGATGTGGAAATAAAATGCATTTATCTATAATCCCCTCCCCTTCCGCCCCGGGCTGCGAGTTGGAAAACGGTGCGCAGTCTGCAAGTTCCGCGACTGCAGCGACGTCTCCACATAATCACGCTACTCTGCACTACAAGTATACACCTCAATTCAACCCCATGTATAGTCAGCTTTTCTAATATATTGGAATATTGTTTGTGTATCGTTTATATATTATATGATATAATATATATATAGATACACACATATATATATATATATACACATATGTATGTGTATATATGTATGTGTGTGTGTGTGTATATATATTATTTAACTTATTAATTATTTTGTTACTGTCCGTGAGCAACTGTACGCACATAATTTCCTTAGGGATCAATAAATCAGTAATCTGAATACAGGACAGACCGGGAGCTCGTACCACAGAATGATCAAAACTCCCCGTATTTGAGTTGCTTGAGCCAGCCAGGAGTCGAACCTAGAATCTTCTGATCCGTAGTCAGACGCGTTATCCATTGCGCCACAGGCCCACGAAAACGTACTGTAACTGTATGGAACAAAGAGTACATTAACTGAAAAGCCTCATAAACATCTGTTGTATCCATTCTACCATTCAGATGACTTTCAAAGATTGCTTAATAATAGCCAGTCCCCTCTGTCATACCCAGTTATCTGTCTCGTTTTAAGCTACAGATAAATTTGAAAGTTAAAAACAAAATCTACTATATATGTAGTAATATATGGCTTGCTTTGGCATCACATTAATAATTGGAGTGATACAGAGATGTGCAATAATACCTTTGAGAATGGAAGAGAATGGAAAAATCAACTCCGATCAACTCAAATGAAACGTAATATTGAATATGTCCCACATTACTTGCCAATGAACGGCAAGCAGTTTAAGAGTACTCGTGTTTTCAACACATACTCATCACGTGCAGCATTGAAAACAGGCATTTTCTAACCCTTTCACTGGCTAGTGATACAAAGAAAATTGTACATCTGGCGTGGAATATTGCAAAATATGGAACGCTTCACGAATTTGCGTGTCATCCTTGCGCAGGGGCCATGCTAATCTTCTCTGTATCGTTCCAATTTTAGTATATGTGCTGCCGAAGCGAGCACGATAGTCAGAGCTGGCCAAGCTTCTTATGTACTGCTTCCCCCCGTATACTTTCATGTTGATGGGTGGGCGCATACAGCTTGTAGTACTACTATTTCATCAATTAAAGCTTCAATTTTACCAACTACTACATTTTCTTACATGGATGGTTTATTTTACAATTGCCTATGTCTAAAAATGAATCATTTTCTTTTATTATTTCTTCTTTTCTTCTATTATTTTTCTCTTAGCAGATACAGCGTAGCATGCTGGGAACGATGTAAATTCGAATCCTCTTCTGAGTAATTTATTGGTCGACTGGGAGAGGAATCCAGTAGGTGTCGATGACAACTTCCTGCCAGTTCCTTGCTGGGATATCCAACTTCCTGTTTAATGGTGGTCGGCAAACACAATGGAGCATTCGGGGTTGTTGTTCAGCTGTTCTCTCAAAAATCTTCCAAAAATGACCATGGCACACGTTACACAATCAGTGGAAAGCCGCATATCATCGAAAAAACTTGAAAAGGGGCACAAACATTTTCATAAAAATTCTTTTCAAAGGTGCAGGTAAGTGCTCTCTTGTTAATGCTACTTTGCTAGCTAGTATCACATGGCATGCTAATTTTAAGCAATTTTATTATTATTATTTCTTTTTTCTTTGTACATGATTAGTATCAAACGTGTTGAATATAGAGATAGTGGTAAGATGCAGATCAATGAGGAAAAGAGAGGAACCACATTCCCTACAGATTTTGTGTAGCAGATTGGTACTGGTTACCTCCCCGCCAAAGCAGCTCCACTCAGCTTTAATGTTTCTGTGTGTATGGCATTGCAAGAGCTTTGTGTCTAAAGTGAATAGTGTGTAATCTGCTTAAATTAGTCAATATTATTGTGACCGTAAATGTCACATGATAACTTGGTATGATAACTTGCTAAACAGTAAGGGTGCTTGATAATAATACAAATATAATATGACTGGTAGAGGGCTACCTGTACTGGCTGATTGCCTTAGTGTCATATTGCTCTTGTTTTTCCATGAAACTTTGTTCAGAAGGCCTATGTTAGCTCATCGTTAATTATTATAACAAACATTTCATTCCATGCCTTATAGTGTCACACTTCTTTGTCCACCTGTAGGTCACTTTACAGGTTGAGCCTGTGCAGTTAAACAGCACGTTATGCTCATGCACTGCAGGGAAAGCACTGTGCGCCGACCTGCTCGCCTTGCTTTTCCAGTGTGCACATGGTAGTATGATGAAAATGCAGACAGCCCCATCAAGAGTGCCATGTGCTGACTCTCTGCAGACCTGACATCGGCCATGGACTTGGGTAATTTGCATTCGTTTATGTGATATGCATTTCATAATAAAACATTCTTTTTGTATTTTTTATAAATTCACGTATGTTATTCTCTCTGGAAGTTATTATGATTTGCTTATTTCATGACCACCCGTCACAACCATAAGGTCCACACAGTACGCAAGTGCTCCAGAGCTTCCAAAACTACAAACAGGAACTAAAATAATAAGACTGTCAGTGATCGACAATAAAAGCCAATCTAAAAAATAGGTTTTTAATCGTGATTTAAAAAGAGACTGAAGGAGAGGACCTTATCTCCAGTGGAAGAGTATTCCGGAGATGGGTGTTACATGATCCCGTGTTTTGTCATTGTCAGTAGCCTAGCTGTGGCGCTCTGAACTAGTTGTATGCGACAAAGTGATGACTTACTGATTCCTGAATACAGAGTTACAGTAATCTAAGTGGGATGAAATCAGGGCATGAATAACTTTATCAAGATCTGGAGGTGATAAAAATGATTTAACTTATGAGATTTTTATGAGATGATAAAAAGCCGATTAACTACGGAATTAATTTGCCGATCGATCAGTCAAAGACAACACCCAAATTCAGTGCATGATCTTTCACAAAAGTAGAAAGTTGACCCAGATACTCAGATAGGGTTAGTACAATTTGATGATCTGAAAATGGCTAAAAGAACCAATATTTCCTCAATCCCCAGCACCAGCAATAAGAAGGAGATCATTTAACTCGTACTAATGCAGTCTCAGTGCTGTGAAGGGCCTTAAAATCTGATTAAAATATTTCTAAAACATTATTGCTTGGTAAAAAAGGAAGGAGTTGTGAAAGGGCCACTTTTTCCAGAACTTCAGAGAACTTTGAAATAGGATGATAATTGGAAAGTATGTGAGAGTCTACATTAGACTTTTTAAGCAATTGCTGGACTACTGGGTGTTTAAAACAGGAGAGAACAGTGCCTGTTGAGAGACAGGCATTTCGAAAAGAAAGCACCAAGGGGTCAATGTCAAACACGTCTTTGAAAAGGCTAGAAGGAATGACACTGGAAGAAGAAAAATAAGATTTCGAGTTAGATACTATTTCCCTTAACGAGGAAGGGAAAGAGGTTTAAACTCTGTCAATGGTTTTCTTTGGGTCCTATCATAAGAATGTGACATAATACAAGCCATTGGAGCAATATTCTATCTAATAGCATCAATCTTACTTGTAAAAACTTGAAAAAAAAATTCACGTTTCGTCAGACAAGTTAAGATCGAAATTAAAGGGCTCTAGTGCAGATACAACACTAAACAAAACTTTACGGTTATGTTGATTTTCGGCAGAGAAATAATTTTCCGGTGCACGTTTTACATTGATTTGAAAAGTGGTCAGACAACTCTTTAAAATGTCCAAGGGGACTCCACTGGAGGCGAAGCATTCACCGCGGGAACCGCTGTGGGCGGCGCGTCATCCGCTGCGGGAACTGCTGGGGGTGGAGCGTGGGGTGGTGTTGCGTCAGCCGCCGGGACCACAGCCACCGGGACCACAGCCACCGGGATGGGACCCTCAGAGGGTGGCGCATCGGCCACGGGTACTGGCACCTCGGGAGCCAGCACCATGGGAACTGGAACCTCGAGCGTGGGGACCTTGGGTGCCGGAGCAGAGACCTCGGGCACGGGAGCCTCGGACGTGAGGATCTCGGGCACTGGAGCAGGAACCTCGGACGTGAGGATCTCGGGCGCTGGAGCAGGAACCTTGGGCACCGGAGCAGGAACCTCGGACGCGAGGATCTCGGGCACTGGAGCAGGAACCTCGGACGTGAGGATCTTGGGCGCTGGAGCAGGAACCTTGGGCACCGGAGCAGGAACTCTCGGGCATGGGAACCTCGGGGCGCGAGGATCTCGGGTGCCGGACCAGGAACCTCTGGTGGAGGTGCAGGAGCCACTGGGACTGGAACTTCGGGGGGCAACGCATCAGCCACAGGGACTGGCACCTCGGAAGCGGGCACCATGGGGACTGGAACCTCGGGCTCCGTAGCAGGAACTTTGGACATGGGAACCTTGGGCGCCGGAGCGGGAACCTCGGGCGCTAGAACCTTAGGCGCGAGGATCTCGGGCACTGGAGCAGGAACCTCTGTGGGCAGGTGCAGTATCTGCCAGGACTGGAACCTCAGGGGCCATGGGCACTGGCACCTCGGGAGCGGGCACCACGTGCACTGGAACCTTGGGCTCCAGAGCAGGAACTTCGGGTGCCAGAGATGGAACCTTGGGTGTGGGAACCTCAGATGCCGGAACCTTCGGCGTCGGTGCAGGAGCTGGTCAGGAACCATGGAGGGTGGTGCAGGAGCCGCCGGGATGGGAATCAGTGGAGGCGGATCATCATCCGCCGGGATGGGAGCCGCTGGGGGCGGAGCGTCATCCGCCAGGACCGGAACCGCTAGGTGACAAAGCGTGGAGATCTATCGGGGGCAGAGCATGGGGGGTGTCGTGTTGGCCGCCAGGACCACAGAGAGCGGCGTGTCAGCTGCTGGGATGGGACCCTCGGAGGGCGGTGCATCACCCACAGGGACTGGCACCTCGGGAGCGGGCACCACAGGGACTGGAACCTCGGGAGCAGGCACCACGGGGACTGGAACCTCGGGCACCAGAGCATGAACCTCGGGTGCTGGAGCAGGAACCTATGTGGGCGGTGCAGGAGCCACTGGGACAGGAACCACAGAGGGCCGAGCAGGGAGTGGAACCACAAGGTTCGGTGCAGGAGCCACTTGGTCAGGAACCATGGAGGGCGGTGCAGGAGCCCCCGGGTCAGGAACCACGGAGGGCCGAGCAGGTAGTGGAACCACGAGGGTCGGCGCAGGAGCCACTGGGTCAGGAACCATGGAGGGCGGTGCAGGAGGCCCCCGGTCAGGAACCACGGAGGGCCTAGCAGGGAGTGGAACCACGAGGGTCGGTGCAGGAGCCACTGGGTCAGGAACCATGGAGGGTGGTGCAGGAGCCGCCGGGATGGGAATCAGTGGAGGCGGATCATCATCCGCCGGGACGGGAGCCACTGGGGGCGGATCGTCTTCCGTCGGGACAGGAGCCGCTGGGGGTGGAGCTTCATCCGCCGGGACGGGAGCCACTGGGGGCGGATCGTCTTCCGTCGGGACAGGAGCCGCTGGGGGTGGAGCTTCA